AATTCCTCTTGGTTACGTTACCCTTGATCATGGCCTCTCAGGCCTCCCACACCCACCTCACCACCAATTTGGATCACTTGTTGTTCCCTTGTGGATGTATGAATTGTTATAACAGCTTTAAGATGCCCCAGTAAAATTGTTTTAAAAAAAGATATGAAAACGTATTTTTCTGTTTCTAAACCAGCTTTAAGTTGCTGTTTTCAGAAGGTCATTTTTCTTGTTACTGTTAACATTACTAATAATATTTATCTGGCTTTGTAGAGCTTAGAAATCAGTGGTCTCTAATGAAAGGTATGGTTGCTTAATTTAGTTTGTACAAAGCTCAGTGCATTATCTACATGGGAAGAAACATAATACACGCTACTGAGAGTAATGGCAGTAGTAATAATTTTATCATATGGTTTTCCATATGCCAACCACAGGCAAAGCTTTTCACACTAAATTTAATACCTGCATTAATGGTACTGTCACTGTCCTCCCACTTGCATCATTTTATCCTACTCAGACCCCTTGTCTTGTATTTATTGGAATATATTTTGATTTGAAGATGGTCCTCTGGCATTTAGCTTTATTCTTTCAGGCCATTATTCCAGCTCCTATAGCTCACTGGGTTTCTTCAGAGCAGACAGGGAACAGTTAGTATCCTCTGTAAGCAATTGCTTTCCTCTTTGGGATGAAATAATTTTCTTTGGTCTTTCCCTACGTAACCTTTTCTAGTACTTTGTGGCTCTTGTCTGAACCTAGTTATATCTAGGAGTCAGAAACAGAGGCAATATGGAAGCAAGGCTCTTAGAATATAAGCACCGGCATGATTTCCCATATTCTTTTGCAAAAGCCGCTACTTATGTGTTACAAAACAATAGAATAATTTCATTCCTTTGATAAGAAATTACACCTTTTAGAATAATAATAATAAAAGCTAAACACCAAATTCTGTGCCTTTGAGTCGATTTGGACTCATAGTGACCCAATAGGACAGAACGGCTCTGGTGGGCTTCTGAGACTAACTCTTTATTGGAGTAGAAAGCCTCATATATTCTCACAAAGAACAGCTGGTGGTTTAGAACCACTGGCCTTGTGGTTAGCAGCCCAACACATAACCACTAATAGTAATACGATTTAAGCAGTTGCTGTTGAGTTGACTGATTCATGGTGATCCCATGTGTGTCATGGATCAGTGGAGTCAGTGTAGAACTGGACTCCACTGGATTTTCAATGGCTGATTTTTCTTTTGGAAATCTATTGCTAGGCCTTTCTCCCACAGTGTCTCTGGGTAGAATTAAAGATCAACATTTCCATTGGCAGCCAAGCATGTTAACTCTCAGTGCCCGTCTATTGAGAGTTTCCTATGTGCCCAAAGGCTGAAGAGCCTTACCTTCATGGTCTTTAACCTTTACACTAGCCCAAAGAGATTTATATTATTAATGTGCTTACTTTAGAGATGAGGAAGGGAATCTTGAGGTGACCAACCAACTTTCTCAGGGTCACTTGATTAATAAGTGATGAGCAAAGACCCAAACCCAGCCTGACCCCTTTTCTAACTCTCTGCTCTTTGCCTCTTGGTCAGTTGTCTCTTGTGGCTGCTGCAATCTCACTCTCCCATGGATTTGTCTACAAAGCCACGACAATTTCTGTTCAATCACCCGGAAGTTCTATCTGGATGATGGATATCTGCCCAATTGTCTTGCGAAGGGAAGGACTTAACAAGTCTTTGAAAAACAAAAAATCAGTCACACGTTTTTTTCTCTTGCTTACAAATATAGACAGGGATGCAGTTATTGGTTTAAATTATGCATGTTTGACTGTTATTCCCCTAAGAAAACTCCCTTAAGGAGAGTGGCCTACATATATGGAATTTAATGGACACTAGAATTCTTTTATTGAAGAAAGCAAAGTGTAAAAAGGCTAAAATAAAACACTACCACCACCGACGATTCAAACTAAACCATACCCCCTAAAAGAATTGCAAATGCATTCAAATAACTATCAAGGAATATTAGATAGGCATAATGTCTCTAGTGAATCCAAAGATATTTAATATGTCTTCTGGGGGAGAGGGGGAAGTGCTTTAAAACCAACAGTGGAATTCCCATCTTTCATTTGGGACAGCAGTAGGATGAAGGCTTCCAGGGCTCTCTACTCACATCAGAGGTTCCAGAGACCGGGGCTTAATGAAGATGGCAATGGGATAGAGCTGGGCCACTTGTAACCGCTTGATAGCATTTCCTGATACGTCAAGTATACAGTGTTTACCCTGGGAGAAAGAGAATAGGGGGAAAAAGTCCAAAAGAATGAATTATAATCTAACCAAAAGAGCTATTTTTCAGGGGGAGGCAGATTGCTTGGTTCCTAAAGGCTCAAATACAATCATTACAAGCCATAAATAAACATTGATATCCAGGGCTATCACTGAATTCCTGTAATAACTAATACTTATTAAGTGTGTGCCATGGTGATAGGCATTCTACATGTATTTTATTAACTGTAAATAAGTATTCGGCGCATTGTTCAAAGAAAAAATGTAGCCATATGTAATTTAACCAAGCTGATTCTCAGGAAACTCAGGAATTGCAAACGTTGACTGAGTACTTATGTGTCTCTCTATTAATATATCAAAAACCCTGGTGGTGCAGTTGTACCGGTAACTGAAAGGCTGGTGGTTCAAAGAAAGATCTGTCACCACTGGCTGATTTGTCAAAGACGAGGCAGTGATCTCGTGTAGAGATGGACAGTCTTGGAATCCCTGTGGAGCACCTCTATCCTGTCTTACAGGATTGCTATGTGTTCCAGTTGACTTGATGGCAGTGAATTTGGCTTGGTTTCTTTGGTCCCTAATATGCTTAGTCTAAGGGATCTTAGTGTGCATGCTACGTGTGAATCATAACAAACGATAGATAGCCTTGAGAAGAATGGGAATCCCACCAAACTTTATTGCGTTCATTCAGAACTTGCACATAGATCAAGGTAGTTATGTGAACAGAACAAGGGAGTGCATGCCTTAACATCAAGAAAGGTATGCACCTGACCCAAGCCATGGGGATTTTCAATGACCTCATATGCACATAAAAGTTGGACATTGATTAAATAAGTAAAGCTGAAGAAGAGTTGATACATTGGCATTATGGCGCTAGCAAAGACTATGGAAAGTACCATAGTGTGCCAAAAGAACCCACAACTCTGTATTGGAAGAAGTGCAGCCAGAATGCGCCATGGAGGTTAAGGAGACTTTGTCTCACGGAATCTGGACATAGGGTCTGGAGAGACCAGTTCCTTGGGAAGGACATTATGCTGGATAAAGAAAACGGGGCAGTGAAAAGTAGAAGGCCCTCAACAGGACGAGGGAGAGTGTGGCTGCAGCAATTGAGGATGGTGCAGGACTGGGTGGTATTTCAGTGTGTTGTACACACGGTTGCTACGAGTTGAAGCAGACAGAAAGGAAGCCAACAACATGGAAGAGCAGCTTCAGGAAGAGATACTTTAAATACTCTGTGGTTAAAAGCATGAGAGAGGCAAGCATAAAGTATGTAAATTTCTTTTTTGTTCACAAATAAAGCCCTATTATATGATAGCACACCTCATTGAACTTGGCTTGCACTGCGATGAGTGTTCAAAGCCAAGGAGCTGCTTATAAAGTCTTTCTGGAAAAGTAGATACGCTTGCCAAGTCATATTCTACCTCAGGGAGAGGAATTGCCTCAGTAATCGTTACTCTGAGGCTAGAAAAACTTTATAGAAAAAGAGAGAAAGCATATTACACAAATAGGAATGAATCTAAAATGAATAACCGGTAATAAAAACTTATGAAAATGAAGTGAGACCAAGGAATACTAGATTGAAAGTGTGAAACACAGGACGGTTCAAACCTTTATCAATTTGGTGTAATACATTCCATGTTTGCTCTCTGAAGTAAAACCAGACCAAGACACAAACTCCCTGCCATCCGGTTGATGCAGACTCATAGTGACCTGCGGCGACTCCGTGGGTGGAATATCCCCATTGGGAATCCGAGGCTGTAAATCTTTACCGCAGCAGAAAGCCCCATCGTTTACCCACGGAGTAGCTGGTTAATTGTAACTGCTGCCCTGTGGTTAACACCCCAAATTGTGGTGCATCGTGGGAAAAAAGCCCTGGTGGCTCCTTATAAAATGCAATAACTCAAACTCGCTGCCATGGAGTCACCGCCAGCTTATAGTGACCCGATAGGACAGGGTAGAACCGCCCCATTTGAGTTTGAGACTGTAACTCTACAGGAGGAGAAAGACCTGTCTTTTCCCCACAATGCACCTGGTGCTTTTAAAGTGCCAGCCTTGAGAATCATAGTCCATTGTATGACCACTACACCACCAGTTACATAAAATGTCTCAAACCTGTGGTTATTCACTAGCCAGAACATTCTAAGGGAATAAACTTCATATCTATATGTTCACAGTAGATGAAATTATCCAGGAAGCTCTCACTAGAAACAACATCCATATAGTTGATAGCTCTTTGCTTTTGAGAGGAAAATACATGTAATTTCTTAGTATATTTTCCGGTACGCTTTAAAGATCCAATTTGAATTTTTTGGTAGCAGTAGAGTCAAAGAAAATAAATGCAATAATTACTAATTATATAACATCTGTGATTGGCTAATAACTCCTGTTTTTCTCCGATGAAATGTGTTGTGATCCCAGATTAGCATCTCTCTTTACCTCCTTTTGTTTAGTCAAATCTGAGTCATGGAGACCCCCATGTGTTACAGAGCAATACTCCCTCTTAGGGTTTTTGTGGCTAAAATAATGGAATCCAATCACTAGGCTTTTTAAAGCACTACTGGGTGGATTCAAACTACCAACCTGTAGGCTAGTAGTTGAACACAGTTTGCACTATCCAGATACCTAGCTAGGGTCCCCTCTATGGGCAGATCTTTAATCACACCCAAGTACTTTTGTGTTCTATCCTCTCTTGAACATTATCCCTTTTTGCCACACTCCAGAAGTTATCAGCAGGAAGAAATTACACAGCATTGACATCTCTTTTTTGGAAGTTCTGTTCACATGAGGTTGGACAGCCCCCCCTCTCATCTCCCCACCTTTCCACCTTGAGATCTCAAGTTCGCAGGTGGAGAAAAAGTAACTCCTGATGACAGGGTTTGAGAATCTGAATCTCAAGATTCAGAGCGAAGTTTCCTTAATAAACTCAACGTTATTTACACTGGAACCCTAGGTCAGGGGTCATATTTGAGGACAAAGTAAATCCTCATAAACTTCAAGTTATTACCGTAATTGCCTTCAGGTTTGAAGTCACCTCATGTCCCCTCAGCCGACTAGCCTACTTTACGGAGATGAGAACAAGAATTAGGGCCTTGTCCTCAGGTGGTTCTGTGCTTGACTCTTAAAAAAAATATGCGATCAAAATTTACAACTGCAATTGGGAACGCTGGCTGAACAGAAAGGCAACGTGCCGGCTGGGGGCCATCTTTCCGAGAAGAGTGAGATGAAGGGTGACATACCCTCTCTGCGACAAATCTCACAGACTGCACGCTGGTTCCGTACAGGTTGTCATTGTACTGGCCGGCTTCTATAAACTTGTGCTCTTGGATATCTTTCTCCATTTGTTCTCTGGAAATGACAAAGTGATAGTCTCTGCCATCCACTTCATAGTCACGCTTTGGCCTCGTAGTATCTTTACAAAACAAGAAAGAACACCAAGATGCATTTATTCTTCTCAATTCTCCCTTTGTACCTACTTTTATACCACATCATATATATATATATCATAGATATAAAATATATGTGGTATGAAGGAGCCTTTGTTTAAGCCATGACATCATAAAGGATACTGGTCTTCAGCCTTATCCTCCTACTATACGGTGACCAGATGTCCCCGCTTTTTAACAATTTTCCCCACGTCCCACGGCGTTTTAAAAAGTCCCGATTTTGGGAAAGAATGCACGACAAGCTAGGGTATACAGTTTTCGGCTGCCACGTGGCTATTTAACCAGGATATGAGTTTTATCAATGGTGTCCCACTTTACCAATGTAAAAATCTGGTCACCTTATCCTACTATAAACTACAAAATGGACAAAAAGATGGAGCATCTGTTTTCAGGTGTCCAATGAGAGGTGCAGAAAAAGGAGTGGCCCCCAGAGAGCTCTACAGTCGCCTGGCCTCTGGCTAGGGGCCATTTCCAAAAGGACAGGCATCAAGGTAGGGTCTTAGCTGACCTTGGAGTTCTGATCAGCCAGGACTGGGCATCTGGTTAATACAGAGTTCCTAGAAAGGCTAAATTGTAGGAGTTGGTTTCCCCTAGGGACACCTTGGCAATGGGGGAAAAAAAACCCAAATAAAAACAGGCTACAGCTAGAACAAGCCTATGAGAACAGAAACTCAAAATCCTGTAGAGGAAAATAAGCAAAGTCCAGAGAGACTCTCGAAATATAGCAGACGGTCAAAGATAACGCGATAAGCAAAGAGGCGGACAAGTGCGTCCTTTAACCAGGAGAGGAAAATAGAGCTATTATAAAATACACTCAAAGATTTAATAATACATAAAATGACATCACAGTTAAGGGGCCTAAAAGTCATCAATTCTAGCCATTCCACCTAACCTTTAAAAAATATGTATGTAAAATTTTAAATGTTAAGCAAAAAAGTAATAGAAATTGTATATACCTAATAGTATATATATATATATATATATGTGCTATGTGTACCCAATCCTATGGGGGAAATGCAGCACAGAAAGAAAAAGTAGACAGAAGTCTACCAAAGCTTTAACAATTACATTATCTCTTGGTCATCTGCGTGATGGGTGGTTGAATACTTTTTAGGATTTTGTAAGCTTTACACAAAAACATGGATAAAGTCTGTGTAAAGCAGTGCTATTTACTAAACAAGGAAAAAGATGCAGTGAAAGGGAAATTGGAAAAGGTGCTTCAGAATTACTTATTGTCTCTTCACAGTTACAGACCAGTTTGTTAGCTAGAAGCTGCTACAAATGACCTGGGGTTTGATATACTGAAGACCTAGCGTGAGTCAGACAGCAGGTCTTCTTCCCAGGGCCCTAGCTGGCAGCAGTTTCAAGTGGTACAGCCATCATCTGGTTCCCTTTTGTTCATGGCCTATCAGTGTTGCACGTACAACTCAAGCTAATCTTGAGTATTCCAGGTGATCCTTGTGGCATAAAAATGCGAGAAACATTTGAAAACATACAGTTTAACTTTGATGCTGAGAAACATACTTGTTGGGATCAAATTTAAGAGCTCAATTATCTAATAAATTAAAATTGCCTGGAACCTTGGTTGCAGGCCCCTAAGATTGTATCTGCTGGACCTCTTCTTCCCACTCTTCTGCCAGCACTTCTGTTTTCATCCACATTATGTTACGCAGAAGCACAGGGTAACCTTCTGCGTGTGCAGACTAAAGCTTCTTAAACTGTGGGGTCACAATCTCATGTGGTCACATACCTCAATATGAGGGTAACAAAACAATGTTGGCAACAGTCAAAGGTTTCTGAACAACCCAAACAAAGTAACTTAAAATCAAAATGCCAGAGGTGCAGATTCTTGGGGGGAAAAGGGTAACTGGATTAGGAGCAGCTGTAGCCTATGTGTGGTTAGCAGCCCAACACATAACCACTGTTACCAGGGCTCCTACGTGTTCCCCAACCATCCTGCAACGGTTTTAACCTATGACTTGTTTCTGATCTCGTTTTATGAAAGACGTCGCTTCTGTGTTAGTTCGGTCACGTCATCAGAGCCTCCTGAGGCCCCCCATCAAGCCTGTGCTTATTTAAAATGCGTTGGAGGTGTAGAATAAATTGGATCTAGCCCTGCCCTCTCAGGGTTCACAGTCAGGTGGGAGAGATGATTAAACTTAACAGAGAACAATAAGCAATACATGGTTACACAGACGAAAAGTTTTAGGCAGACAAAATTAAAAAATAAGTAATTATGGTATCTGACTTACTAGCAAGACTGTAAGTAGAATTACATGTTATCACAAGAGAGGAGCTAGATTTATTTTTTCTAAAGGAATGAGAATGATACTTACGAGGCACACAGGAACCAAATTTGTCAGGGAACTCAGATATTAAATCGTCGTTGATCCGATCCTTCATGGGGCCCAAGATAATCACAGGTCGAGTGTAGTTTACTGTACAGAGAGAAAGGAAGATTTAGGTGACGAGAAAGACTTGGAAAAATTGGCAAAACAGTCCTGCCAGAGCCATCTTAAAGTGGACTGCTGGGGGCGTTACTTCTTGGGATAAATGGTCCATGGAGTCCTGCCCACGGGGATGGATGCTTCATTCTGAGTATGTCCAGCGGTGCCTACTTGAATTCACCAGCAGGGACAAGCAACAGCACTGTCAACAAAAGAAGCATCTGGAGGGGATTGGCTCCCTTAGGGCCCAGCCACACCAAGTCAAAACAAAGACTGAATTCAGGCCACGGAGTGGGAAAAAGATGCCAAACCACGTGTTTGATCATTAGTTATGTAGACAATGACTTTAAAAGTAACTATCATACAAATGTGCTTAATACAATTGATGGGTGGGTTGTTCTAAGAGCTGTAAGAACCCTGAGCCCCCAATAAGATGATTTATATATAAAAAAAATACTAATTACAGAACGTAACTGTTAGTAAGAACACTTTGTTTATCTAATTCCCTTTTCTCAGCTCAAAATACTCTCTCTTTGTTGTGGTTTTCCCAAATCCTTTGGGACATGAATGCTAAAGTTCATTTGGTGTATAGCTACTCATCTGGTGTCTGAATTCCTTCGACAACATCCATGTCAATAGTCACTGGGCTTTCTGTGAAGGGGAAGGGATGCAGGTCTCCAGCGCAGAGTCTGCATCCCAGGATAGCTTTGCTCAAAATGCCTGCTGCTGACGGAGCGGATGTTAGCCTCGCAGGGGCTTTTGCCCGCTGATCCTGCAGCCAGGTCTCTAGGTTATTCTGATGGGCTCCTCCTCATGAGGAATACTCGTCTGGAGGCCTGATCCATCTTTTTGGGAACTGTCATTGCTCCCTTTCAGCAGGGCAGCTGCTTGTTTGGTGAGAGGACCGTCAAGGGTGGAGGGGAAAGTCCGGGGACACTGAGTATTAACTAGGATGTTTCTGTTGGGCCCTCACGCTATCTTTCAATGGTGTCGTATTCTGGAAATCAGAGCATTCTAGGAAACTTACTTTCCTGCCGAGTGACAGGCTCATAGGAAAGAATGAGGTCTTCTTGTCCTCCTGAGAAGAGAAGAAGAAAATTACAATGGGCTAATTACCCCCGTATATCCCAGCTATAAGCCCTGTTCTGAAACACAGGAAACAGACATGGTTCTTGGTTAATTTCCCTTGCTCTTTTTCTTGAGCCATTCCAAAAATCCTTTCATCCTCAGAAAATACTTCAGCAGTATTTCAGGGGTCAGGTTGTCTCTCTAGTCAAAGCTCGGTCATAACTCTCCTAAGGACTGGCCGCCTGCTAGCTGCAGGTCAGTAGGGCAGCAACCCAGGAGACGACTCTGACAGTGGGTAGTGCAGCACAGTGGCCCCTCCAACAGTAGTACTGCCTACAATTAAAGCACTTTGTTGAATGAAAGGGGGGCATCCTGTGGTTTGCTGTGTGTAACCAAATTTCCTTATCTTCCAAGGAAGCACATGGTTCAAAAGCAAGTATCAGCTTGATTTATAATAGAAAACCTTCATCTGTACTTAGTACAAGATTGCTAAGGGATGTGACTCTACTGTTACTTTTGGGGGAATATTTTGTGTGTCCATGAAACAAAGTTAAAATTCAGGAGTACCATGAGTCACTGGCTAGATTTATTGGTAGAACGTGCCTGATAATTTGGAAAAAAGACAAGGTAGTAAAAGTGTCAGTTCCTCCAATGTGGGCCTCAAATCAACAAATCACCATGGAGAGTAAATTAACCTATTGCCGTTTAGTTGAGTCTGCCTCACAGTGGGCCTCTCAGACAGAGTAGAAATGCCCGGTAGGGTTTTTAAGGCTGTAAATTTCTACAAAAGGAGACGACCACCTCTTGATTCTGCAGCATAGTTAGTGGTTCACACCACCAAGCTTCTGCTTAGCAGCTGAGTGTTTTAACTTCAGCACCACTCTCAAACCCAAACCCACTGCCTTTGACTCTGTTTTGACTCATAGTGAATCTGCACGGGCTTCCCAGGCTGGAAATCTTGATGAGAGTGGACAGCCTCATACGGAACAGCTGGTAGGTTTGAACCACTGACCTTAGCAGTCCAACACATACCCAGCAGCACCACCAGCACTTCTATAGGCAACTATTTTTCTAAGGACCTGTTTTACCCAGTTGATGAAGTGTCTGTGGATGGAATCGGCTGTAACCCCAGGTTTTGCTCGTTGTTTTTGCCTTCGGCTTATGACTGACTATCTTTTAATGGGGGAAATAGTTTTGGCCTAAGTGCTGATCTGTACAATAGTGTAACATGCATCATGAGATGATTTCTCCTGAGTTCCAAGGGCAATTGGCTGCATTGTTTTAGAGCCTCGGAGCTCATGAAACACATTCACAATATGGCAATGCCTCTTTCAATAGTCCTGGCACCAGGAAAAGTTTGATGGGTGGTTTTCATAATGACCCTTGCTTTTGGAAAGTTAGGCGATATGTGGGCGAAAGTGTGCAGTAGAGATGTCTTCTGGAGACTAGGTGGCTGTGGTGGGGTCTTAGGTTCATAAGTGTGAGAAGTGTCTCCAGACCCAAGACACAATTTTCTTTTTTAAAAAAAATCACTTTACTGGGTGCCCTTACAGCTCTTATCACAATCCTCCATCCATCCATTGTGCCAAGACACAATCGTAACTCACCATCAAGCAAGGCCAGCCCTCTGAATGGCATTTTTATGCCAAACTGCTTCCTAAAGGAATAGAAGGTGGGCAAGGTCCCTTTTTGTGTGTGGCATCATGGCTGCCCCAGAAGTGTTCAGGGTACTTTCCTACTTTAGGGTAGAAGGTTGGGATGTGAGGAGTAGGATACACTATTTTTTTTTTTAATGCTCAGGAAATGATTTAATCTCAGTAAACAGAATGACTGAAATTTAGGAAGTCTTAACTTCCCCCCTTCTTGTCCCCCAAAAGAAAGGGACTAATGACTAAGTCCCAGTAACCTACATGCAGAGGTCATAAGAATTCAAAAGCTAAGGATACAATTATTAGGGGAACAAGTACAATTTTAGGCATTGAAGCATCGCTGAGGAACATCACCATGTTGAACTATAAATTAATTAGGGAATCTTCATAGTATGATGAATAAGAAATGAATCCTCACTGTGGGCTAACCAAGGCTTTAAATAGCTGGGGATGTTTTCAAATCCCCAATCTACTAGGAGTTCCACAATGGCAAGGACCGAGTCTCATTCATCACACGGGCCCAGTACCCGGCCAATGTGTAACATAAATACAAAGCCAATGAATCCTTGCTTCGATTTCAGTACTGGAAACATGATGAGCAATGAGGCCAAACTGAGGTTCTAGTTCATGCTTTTGTGAATACTGCCATATTTTCACTTTGGAAGCAGTTTTTCCTAAACATAAGGCAAATCTTTTCAGTGACTTTCCAAGTCATTTGGACGGGGCACTCTAAAGGCAAATCTTATATATCATGTTGAGGACAGCGTCTATCATTGTGCTTGGGAAAACAAGGGCAAAAGCATTGCTTTGAGGCAGTTTTGTAGAGACTTCCCCTCCCGATCCTACAGTGGTTCTAACACTCAGGGGCTGTGTAACCCCAGGGAGTCTGCAGGCTTCAAAGCTATGGAGCCTGGTATTAATTACAGCTGTGAATTCAACACCTTTCGCTGATTGTCACTTTCAGGATCAAGAATAAAAAGCTCTATGAGTATTGGGAAGGGCGAAAAGGAAAAGTCACTGAACAAAGGAAAGACCCTTCAGGCCGGTAAGGCATTTGGCCCACTGGCTGTCACGTATGTACGTATCTGTTTTGAGATAGATACTCTGAGGGTCTCCACTTTACTGAGGTTCTGAAATGCGAAGGAGGCCTAGCCATTCCCTCAGTGAGTGGGCAGCGCAGTCGAGATTTCAAACCATGCATTATTGTAATTTTGCCCCATGTGTCTGTAAAGGCGAGAGGTGCAGAGCTCTCTGCAGGGGCCACGGAGCACGTGAGTGAACACTCACCAGCACAACAAACGGTGGTAAGCGAGGAGCCAAACTGGGGTCAGAGTCACTAAGCGCCCATACGGGGTTCAGCTGTAAACACCAACTCTCTTTTGGAAATGCTGCTGTGTCATCACCATAAAATAGTCATCCTGCCTAGTTTGTCTATTTTCTGCTCAGGAGGTGTTGGCACTTAGAAAGAACAGCTGAAGAAAAAGGTACAAGCTATTTCTTGGTTCTGTTTTGGCAAATGCGTAGCTCCAAGTAGGGGAGTGGCAGAGTGCGGTGTGTGGACTTCTGCCCTGTCTGAGATGCAGCAGAGGGTGCTGTAGTGTCGTCCTGAAGACATGGTGTGTGTATTCTGGATGCAACTTGGGAAGACCCTAGTATGTCTGAATGATTGGTAAAAGCAAGCTGTTCTGTAGGAATTCTTGGAAGCTGGAAAAGAGGGAAGGGAAGGCTAGAGGCTGCACATGTAGTCATTCAGTATTCTGAGAACAGTGCTCGGTCTCTTGCATATGATGAGTAAGAATAAATTAGGATAATAAGAATAAATTTGAGGAGACAACGTTAATGCTGAGAAAGCTTTGGAGATTATGTGGCTCAGAGAAGGCGAATATGCATCTTGTAAACTCCCTCGTTTCAAGGCCTTAATGAGCATCATGAATTGATCATTGCCCTCACTGTCGATGAACCTTAGCTTGGCTGCTTCATACTTCTCAGTACAACTATTCACACAGCTATAACATTCTGGTGAGAGCTGAAATATTGTTTGAAATCTGCTCTCTCTCTTCTAGTCCAAACTAATTTTTCACAGGCAAGAACGGAGCTTCAAAGGGTTGAGTGATTTCTTCTAGATCAAATAATAAATGAGCAGCTCTGCATTTTCATAGGTTGTTAGTGTTGTGCATATATTAATCTTCCTAAGAATCAGGCTTAGTACATGGGTGATGCTATATAAATGCTGCTTATTTTAAATTCCCAAGTAGTGTGGAGTGGTTGAAATGTACTAGAAGGCACGTCGAGAGGTTTGGAGTACGCATCGTGGAAGCGTCCTATTGAAACGGGTTCCTGACCGGGAGGCCCTGGTTTGACCTGCAGTGTCATCACTTAGTGAGCTGAGCCACCTCTTAGTCAATTTCTTCATCGAGAACAAGGACTATGAATCTCTATCTCATTGCTTTCATTGCAAAATAAAACGAGATGAATATACCCTGACAGAATTATTCCCAAGGGCAGCATTACAGAAGAGTGGAGAAGATGGGTACTGCTTACTTACTCCACTGGCGCAATCTTGGGCTTCCTCATGTCAGCACTTCAGTGTTATTTCTTCAAAGCCTTATTTTAAACATCCCACAGAACTGAGAAGCATCAGTGGGCCACATGGGTACCCGCCAGCTTCCTCACATCCAGAAGAACTTGAAGGAGTTTTTAATAAGCGGTGAGGAAGGCAGATCTTTAGCTGTGGTTTATTTGGGTAGTACTCATTATCCCTAGGTATTTATTGACTTTCAATAGAAAGGCAATGGAAAGGTATGCAAGAATGCAAGTTGTACTTTATTACTGTGTTGATAGACAGAAGTTTGGAGTTAGCCCATAATTAAGATAGTTTTTAGGTGGTACTTTGCATAATCAGACAACGCACTATATGTAACTTCACTTTAGCTGGTGCTCAATATAATTGGACTTTCAAAAAAATCTTTAGTCTTTAATGCTTGAGAATGTGCAGCAAAGATCTGAACTACTTATTCCAAATTGAAATATGTGTGTCTGAGTATCTTGGGAAAGTAATGAGGCTCTCAAGCCAGGTTGGCACAATGTGGGATTCCTGGATGCAGTGTGAAACACAAGAACTTGGACTTTCTATCTAGCTGCTGCTACTTCTTAGCCATTTCATTTCCAGAGTGGATATGCATAATTGTAAGAGTGATGAAAAGATAACACTGAGGCATCAGTTAGTGGAGGGTCTTATTTGGGTATCTGTATATGTGATGGAACTTCAAACAGTTCATGGGCAGATAGAAGGAAAAGATAATAGAATTTTCTCACAAACCATTGAAGTCCCCCTTGTGCAGCTATGCACAAGACATCCAAG